ACCAAAATATATTAAAAATTAACAATCTCTTTGTTGACGATAATAGTTCAATCTATTTGTAAAAGGTATTCATAAATATAACAAGCACGATGGAATTACATCTCCGTTCCCCAGCTAAAAGTAATAATCAAAGAATATCAATAATCAATCATATTAAATATGCCGAAAAATACATTTTATTGATATCAAATTGCGTATTTAAAATGATTTTCTAGTTTTCTAATTTTTCTACGCTCTAATAAAAGTATATATCAGTGATTTCTGATATCATCTTACTTATAAAACTGTTGATATTTATAATAATGAGTTGTTGGAATGCTATAACTTTGGATAACTATATCATAACACCCATAGATAAGATAAGATAATAATACCTATAGAATTTAATTATAATGATTTATACTAATAATAATAATATCACTTGTTTCATATATCTTATGCAAAACATTTTGCACATCTTCCGGTCCAGCGGTTTCTAAACATATTGGCATACTTCATAAAAATTGATGTATGTCAATCAAAGCTTCGTATAGAAATAGCATGGAAAAAACTTCGAAAATTAAAAAAATGTTTTTAGGTATAACTTAGCGACAAATAAATTAAAAGTGACAATTCGTGTCATCTTTTATTGAAAATTCGACGCTCTACAAAACAGATTTTTAACTTCCCGTAGGTTAAGTTATTGTAATCGTCCAAAAATCGAAATTGAAAATTTTTTACATTTCTCGACCTTTTGAAGGTTTCTGAACATTTTAGCATACCTCAGAAAAAATGGATGTGTGTGTGTGTGTATGTATGTATGGATACAAATTTCCAGTCACGTTTTCGGGCGCACGGATCAACCGATTTGAATGATTCAGAAAACATTCGATTCCTATCGATAGCGAGAAGGGCTGATTAGTTTTTGGCAAAGGCAGGTCCAGCAGTTACGGAGATAGAGAGCAAAGAGTGCAGATAATAGATATCGAGTTTTTGAGAGAACGGAGCATCCGATTTGAATGATCCAAAAACATTCAATTCGTAATGACGGGGAGAAGTGTTTATCAGTTTTAGTCCCAGCCATTTCGAAGATACGGAGCTAAATGTGTAAAAAATGGCAGTTTTTGAGAGAACTAGGCGTCCGATTTAAATGATTCAAAGAACTTGCTGCTTGTCTTAACAAAATAATTGATTTTGGAAAAAAAATTTTGTTTCTACTTTTTTTTATACAAAACTTTGATTGAATTGCGCACTATCTAAAAGAAAATATTAAGAGCTAAATCTTATAGAGGATTTTTTTCATCAATATGTAAGCATTTGAGCCCCTGGGAGCAAGGAAATTCGAAAATGTCCATATTAAGGACCACCTTTTATATATATATATATATATATATATATATATATATATATATATAAATTGAGAGTCAAACCAATCAATTAAAATAATTTCATGTTGCAAGTTTGGCCGTAGTCCAAAATGCTTGCAATAAAGAGAAACCGATGAGTATTTCGGGGCCTTTTAAAATGATGCATGAATAATGTTTATATCTTTCTATAGTAATAAATACTGTATACATAAACATCTATATCGTTATTGACATAAAATAGGCGTTTTGGAACCGAACAAATAAATTAATTAAACAATACGTCGTTTTATTACATATCCTAGGATATCATAATCACTTGTAAATGTCAATTATGCCTACAAATTATCTCTACCAGCTTCATCTAACAATAAGATAGACTAGAAACCGTCGATAACATTTTCTGATGCAGAGTTTCTTAAACTTTTGTCCTTCGCGACCCCATTTACGATTGCGAATTTTTTGGCGACGTCACACATATAAAAATATAAATTAATATTTTTAAGTGATTTATTTATTTGGTAACAATAATACATATACATTAACATATAAATATATATATGTTTAAGAATTTATTGAGAACATAAAAAACAAGGCGTGATTTCCTAAAATGAAATAAATATTTGACAATACAATCTCTCGCGACCCTGACCCATAGTTTAAGAAGCCATGGTCTGAAGTATTAACTGTCATTTTAGAGATAATAACCCGCTTATTTGTGTGACTAACATCTGCTTTTTTATAATGCAAGGGCTCGTTTGCAAGAACAAGCTGGTGCGCAATATCTTCAATATTATTTTCATATTTCGCTCATTTTTATTGTAAATTATTTAATGTATAATATAGAAGACTGGGTACGATTGTGCCAGGGTATGGTAGTGACAGTCGTCATAACATCTAAATTATACTGATTTTGAGATAGGGTCCAAAGAGAGCAAGATAAAGTATGATTGTTCGAACAAGTTCCCATTATTGCTTTCAGTTAATGCCTTGTATTAACATGATCTGTGTATCGCATTGCTTTTAAGGAGTCAAAAGTAAGTTATTATATTCAAATTCCTTTAATAACAGATAGGTCACTTTGTTTGCCATTTTGCTGTAAGTTGAACATTAGTAGTTATTTACCAGCAATTAGTTTTTGCTTAGATAATTCAGCTCAGTCATAATGAAAATTTGTTTTCAAAAGTGTGCGGTAGGTACAGTTGTGTCAAATTTTGGGGTACGGTTGTGCCACTCGCTCTTTTGTTGTATGATTTGACTTTAAGACTAATCGATCGTATTTAATGACAATATTTTTTAGACAAATGTTCAAATTACTATTTAATTCACTTTTCTCTCAGCTAACTGGTAAATTAACAGAATTATTGCTGATAAAAAAATTGGCAGAACCGTACCCCGTCTCCTTATTACGTCAAGACTTCTCTAACTTATTAACTGTCATTTCTATACTGGTAGCATGCTAATTTGTCCAACAAACACCTATTTTTTTTATTATGAAAGAACTCCTTTGCAAGAACAAGCTGATGTTCAATATCTTTTACAGGATTTTCACACATTATCAGATATTTAAGTCGAACTACATTGCGAAATCGATACAGACACTTCAACTATTATCGTTCTCTCTTGGTTTGTTTATAATTTACTTGGGTTTTGGTTTATCAACTATATAAGTTGGACTTTTTATTTGGTTGCACCGAGCATAGCAAAAATTTAAATTTGTGCGTCTTTTTTTTGGTTTAGTTTTAAAAAAATTGATGGCAACTTTTCTGTTATTATTTCATTTTTTAAAAACTAGAACTGGTCAATATCACAAATAAATCATAAAATCTTCAAACAACTATATAGTACACAATGACACTATACTTCACCCCCTGAAGTGCATTACCCCAAATATCATTTATTCATTTCTCAACGATTATATTTAACCAACGATACAAAAAGTTCAAACAAATGGAAAATAATGTTTGAGAGTATATCGATTGCATATTTAGTAAATCAAAATTGTTATTTTGATTTAATTTTGAGTTAATTATGTTAACTTTTTGGGTAAAAATAAAGTGATTTATTTTTATGATATTTAAGAAATATTTTAAAATATATGACATTACGATATAAATAATCATAATGACGATATAATATTTTGCAATATTTCAGGCATTTATAATTTTATTAATTAAAATATTAATTTTTAATGCATGTAAAATAACGAAAACAAGTAACTTGCAATTCGTTATATACAAATAAAATTGTGAAAACTTTTGTTTTATCATAGTGCTACATATTTCCCATATATTTAAGTATTATTCATCAATTTAAAAATAATTCAGTAATAAATCCTTAAGATTAAAAGCAATTTAGGATGAGGTTCCCAAACATCCGCCATGTTGTCATATCAAGGGAATCGGCCCTATTGTCAAAAACATTGAACCTAGAATAATTTTAAAGGGCTCACCTTAAATATAATGCACCATTCCTGAATCGTTGGGTCAATGCACAACACTAGCACAATATTATATCACGAAACAAACTTTGTTTATAACACTTTTATGTGATACACAATTTTTATTGAAAACTGACACAAGATAAACGCGTGTGAAATATATCCATTGCACAAGACGACTGAACGCGACTGACGCGATTGTACACTCGCCAATTGGGTTGCCAGATGCATAGTAATTACCTAATTATTCAAAGATGGGGCGACTGGTAGAATAGTAACCCTTTTTAACAGAAACATCACGAACGGACAACAATTTCACATACACATGTGTTATAACTTAGATTTTATCTTAGAATAAATAGGTTCAAATATTTTATTTACTCTATTTTATTTATATATATTATGATTTAAATAACTTAGAAGTATAATTTTAAAAAAATAAAGTAAAATATTTAATTACTAGTATCATTACTAGTAAAGTAAAACATTTAAAATAATTAATAAGCACGCATAAAAAAAATCTTACTTACTCTAGAAAATTACGACCTATGATGTAAAAATCGAAGCAAGTACAGTAAACCCTCGCTTTACGCGGCAAGTGCGTACCGTGCAGTATAGGAACCGTGCTATAAGAAACTCGTATTTAACATACAATTCAGGCTAATTCGTAGTGCGTTCTATGGAACCTTACATAGTGCAGTATGGGATCCGTGCTATGAGAGACTCAGAGTTGGTACAAATCGCACCATATTTATCGCGCTGTATGGATACCAAGAAATACAACTTGAAGTAGGAGAAATACGGACGAAATGACATGAAGGACATTGACACCTTATTCAAAAATTGGCGCGACGCAGTAGTCAGCTCAAACGTGTTCTTAGACGGCTATTATACAATCAGGCATGTCTAAAAGATAAAAGTCGATAACAAAATTTACATCCCCTTTTGCACAACGAACAATACCCTTTTGCACAACGAACTTATGGGCTGTTGACCAAATAACGTGTAATAAGAAGTCCGTGTAGTCGGAGGGATGTCGGATTTTTAGCTTCGTGTAGTATGGGAACCGTGTACCCAGAGTGCCGTGTAAAGCGAGGGCCTACTGTACTTGGAAATAATTTGTTATGATAAAAGGAAATAAGATTGAATACTCTTTTTTTATCTATGATTCTGTTCAACAAATTTTACAATTGAAATGAGATCATAATAAAATATGGCAACACTATTTTCGTCCATTTAACTGTAGAATACAGCTGTCTCCTTCTTTTCTTTTTAGACATATTGCCCGCGTGCACTTTTGACAATTAAAATATCAACAAATAAAGCAGTAATATAATATTTTAACAAGTGAGTAATTTATTTATATATATTCAAGTAATCTAGTTTTAATTACATTAAATGTTTGATACAATCGATTAATTTTTTTTAAATTTAATTTTAGGTTATGCATGTTTGTTCACATAAATTTATTTATACATTTCAATATCTTCTGCTATTAATGTTATTATAATATCGTATTTATAAATAACGTTTAATCTTTTAGGCAGAAAAAGTGTGAATAACAAATTGAAACATGCCACAAAATGAATATATTGAGAGGCACCAGAAATTATATGGTCGCCGTCTCGATTATGAAGAACGTAAAAGAAAACGCGAGGCAAGAGTGCCCCACAAACGAGCAGAAATGGCACAAAAATTAAGAGGTATTAAAGCTAAAATCTTTAATAAAGAACGCAGGAATGAAAAGATTCAGATGAAAAAGAAAATCAAAGCACACGAAGAAAAGAAAATCAAGAAGAATACAGAAAAGGTTGAAGATGGAGCATTACCCGTTTATCTTTTGGACAGAGGTGTACAGAATCGAGCCAAAGTACTCTCTAATATGATCAAACAGAAACGTAAAGAGAAGGCCGGAAAATGGGATGTGCCTATTCCAAAAGTCAGAGCTCAGGCAGATGCTGAAGTATTCAAAGTTTTATCATCAGGAAAGTCCAGAAGGAAAGCGTGGAAGAGAATGGTTACAAAAGTTACTTTTGTTGGTGAAGGCTTTACACGTAAACCTCCAAAATTCGAAAGATTTATCAGACCTATGGCTCTTAGGTTTAAAAAAGCACATGTTACCCATCCTGAATTAAAAGCTACTTTTTGTTTGCCTATCATAGGTGTTAAGAAAAATCCAAATTCTCCAATGTACACGAGTCTTGGAGTAATAACAAAAGGTACTGTTATAGAAGTAAATATTTCAGAATTAGGTTTAGTAACGCAAACTGGTAAAGTTGTTTGGGGTAAATTTGCTCAAGTAACGAACAATCCTGAAAATGATGGATGTATAAATGCTGTTCTGCTTGTTTAAACTATAAGTGTAAATATTTTAAATAAAATATAAATAACAAAAGACTTGTTTTCACTTTAATTAAATAAGTATACTTTAATTTTTTTTTCAGTGTAAATTGTTCTAAATATGTTTTTCTCCAATAAACATCTATGAAACTCCGTTCTGAAAATTCACTTTGATCCAATAATGTACACGAATAATTTTTGAAAATCATTTAGAATTTTTGAGCATGCATTCGTCAATAAGCATCTACATAATCAGCCACTTGCATCAAAATTATGTCTTGAAAATTTATTAACAACATTTAAATCCTAATTATGAGGTTTTTAATGGTCCATTCATGTTCAGGAATTGTGCTGACTGTTTGCAACAATAATAAAAAAAATTTTAAACACATTAGAATTATTTCTTTTACAAATGTAATAAATAAGATAAGAAAATGTGTGGTTTTATGTGTATTACTGATATGCTTGATAACATGTTTTCTACATACTCTTTTACATGTACCTGCTGGAGTTTATAGAATAAAATACAACACTGCGTTTAATTAAAAATGACTAATTAAAGCTTTTAATTCAATTGCATTATTTATAAATAATATTTATATTTATTAATATATATTTGGCTTTATATAAATCTATATAATAGAAAAACACATAATAAATTTATGTATCTGTGGAATGGTTATAACAAGTTGCTTGAGAGCCAATATTTACTGTAAGCTTTTCATAGATATATATGGAAGATTTATCTATGGAAAATTTGTTGTTGGTTCATTTACACATTCGATCATTTCCTGTATCAAAGGTAGCTAAAAATGAATAAATAAAATCAATTATAAAGTTGAAACATTGTTTAATTCGATACGATTCGCAAGCTGAGATCCTACAAATTTTCATATTCAACATAACATATGTATAGTCTCTGCCAATTTAAATCAAAAATATTTTGCAATCATTCTATAATACAATGTTTCAATTAGATCATAACATGAAAACTTTTTAATGACTGCTATTCAAAACATGAAAAATAGTGTTTAAATTAAACGGTAAAATATTGATAAATGATGCAACCTCTTCCACAGATTTATATATTATAATACAACTTATAAAATCTCTTTGAAATATGGCATATACTTGATAACAACTTATTCTCATTGTATAACAACTAAACTTTTATAAACTTGCAGTTATTATTTTAAGTACACAATATAGCATGATACACATGATTTTAACTCGAAGCATTTTTGAAATGTAAATATTACTCTCATCCTATATCATATATCATTATTGCTAATAATTATATACATAATATATAAATATATGACACAAATAAATGTAAAAAGCCACATGTGATAATAGACTTAAAGCTAGAATGACTTAGAAACAACTCTGCATGAAAAATAATTTCAAATAACATTTATAATAATAGCTAACATAACTGAATTTGCCAGAAAATTAAGCATTTTATGCAGATGCTTATTTTTTTGATAATGATTTTCTACTCCGTTTTGCCACTGTAATTTTGGCTTGCATAAAAATGATCTATTTAAGCAGAACATGTTAACATATAATGATACCATATACATCAAAGATGTTTTACGATGAAAATAATTTTTTCAAATGCAATATTTTCTTATGCATTTACAAATTTAAAGTGTATTAAATAATGTTAATGCCGCACTTTTTGAATGTGTATGCTGATACGTAAATGTTTAGTTATATAATTATGATAATATTTGTTTACTTTCATTAAAATTAAATTTTTATTCATAATTTAAATTCATATAAAGCTATTTTGCTGATCCATTGCAAAAAAATTCAAGTGAATTTTTAAGTTGTTTGATATTATCCTTTATTTTATTGAGTCAACTCAGATTTACTTTAGTTAGATTTAATTGTAAATTAATTTAGTGTTACTAATTAAGTATTGTATCGCAAATTTTCAATTTTTAAAGTTTTATTCAACATTCATATTCTTTTATGCAATTGCATATACTGATAATCATGCAAAAATATATACATACAAACACACAAACATATATATATATATATATATATATATATATATACACGTGTATGTGTAATATGTGTGTATGTGTAATCAATTATAATAGCATCAATGCTTGAGAAGATTTGTTTAGAAAAACCATTCTTGACCCTGTGAAAGTTTTCAGTACTCGGAACTTTATACATAGAGTCCTTTGCAACCATTCTAAGCATTATTTTGCGTAAATGTCAATATCACAAAATATGATAATAGTTTAGTATCAATTTGTGATATTACCATTGTATGTAATATCAGTACATACTGTCAAATCTTTAAATTTTTTATAAGATACCTTAAATATATGTTCAATGCAAATTCATTTAAAATTAGCTGATAAAATAAATGTTAGATACATTTTTTATTTGTCACACAGCGCAATATTCATTGTTTGTTACTTAATTACTTATCAATATGCACATAATTTAATTAATTTACCTTGTTAGATCAAGAACACATCAATATAAGTTTATTTTATAAAGTAGTTTCTGGCCCTTGAGAAGGCGATATACATTTGATTCGTCCATGTACTTGAACAGATTCAGAATGATCCATTTGCTCTAAGCCGAGAAGTTGTTGTTCAAGTTTGCGCACTCGATTTTGATATTTTCTTTTGCATCTTTCCAAGCACAGATTTAAATTACTGCAAAGTTAAAAAAATTAATAACACTCAATGTGTAAGTCTGAAAAAAATGATATTATATTTACATGAAACACGAGTGATGATTCACATCACATTTGATAATAATATACAAACCCTGATATATACTTGATATAGATTTATACCACAAACTTCAGTAAAGAAGAATAGAAATTACATCAATCGATATAAAAGAAATCAATATAAATAAATGGCTAACGCCTCAATTTTACATATTCAATTTTAAATAAAGATACCAAATTTCATACATGTTCGTTTCCTTAAGTTCTAGCATTGCGTTCTGAGCCTGTATATTTCTTTCTTCTGAAGATTTAGCTGCTGCTTCTAAAGATCCGGCGAGACTTTGCAGTCGCGTCTTAAGTCTGGCCTCACGTGCCAAAGCATCAAGTAATTCTCGCTCAACTCCGGCCGCGTGTTCTGCTTCGGAGTAAGATGAACGATCCTTAAAAATAAACATATTTTTGGAATAATAATTATTTTTCATAATGTTGCTATACAATAAAAATATTCAAACTCATAAATCACGCTTAACATTAGTGTTTACCTTATTTTGCCTTGCTAACGAGAGCAAGGCCTCTGTATCTGCCAATTGCGCCTGCAAATGACGCAAGGCGGCTTGAGCTGCTCGATGAGAAGCTTCGAGTGCACCATGCCTCAGTTCAGCAGCTTTACGTTCACGTTCAGAGGCAAACAACTGTGCTCGGAGATCTGACCTTTCTTCACGCATTGCCATTAGTTCCTGAAAATTTATCAATTGTACACTTGATGTCTCATAAATATTCACAATACATATATAATACTTTTTAAAGAAATATAAAAAAATTCTACCAAGATATGTTCATTTCAAAATAATGGGTAAATACTGAAAACGTCGTTTTATTCGATTAAATTTATTTTTACATGAGTTGGCTAAAATAGCTAAAAAATTGAGTAAAATTTTCGTATCATTGTTACTCAAGTATTTTCATTCAAAATTTGCAATTCCTTGCATAATAATGTGGTGAGGTTAAGTGGAGTTATATCCTAACAGATCCAGCTAGGATGCGATAAGCCCAACTCCATAATAGATAAATCAGTCAGAAAACGCCTGATATCTCTGTAAAAAACTTTAATAAAGTACAATGCATACGCACTACATACCTGCATTAGTACAGCTGTTTCCAAATCCATTCTTCTTATCTGCTGCCCTTTAAGCCGCGGCTCAACAATATCTACCGCATGCAGACATTCGAGTACAACAACAGTACCCTGCACATTAGCCCGTTCTGCTTTGAGTCTGGACATCATAGCCCGCAGCTCATTTTCGTCTTCTGCTGACCATGGCTCGGAAGTAACAGCACTGAATGTAAATGATAAATAAAAATATAATGTGACGTTCAATAAAGTTATACATATTCTATACTGAATGAATTAACTTCATTGGATGCTGATATATGAAATATAAAATTTAAAAAAATTCTTGAAAATACGGGCTAATTAAAAGAAACAGGGTCATACTCATAATGCTGGTAGACTTATGTTACAGAAACAATCTCGATATCACACATGGTAAAACCCGAAAAAGTACAGAGTACGGACAATACCAAATCGTCAAAAATAATTTCAGAAAGGAATGTAGGTGTAAATTACAATATAAATATGAAGAATATATCACCTATTAGCGTAAAGTGTTTTAGCATCTTGCCACGGTCCCGTGCTGACCATCTGTGATCCCCCTTCTGCTTGCAAACGTGCCAATAGGTGCTTTGCAACAGTCTCTGCGGTTTTCCTGCTTTCTTTCGCTATCCTTAATTCCTGTGGTATGAAAATTCTTAATCCATAAATAATTAGATTCTGAGCAATTTATACTAGATTTTAAATCATTTTTTGCGAGGATTTAAAATAATGTTTATTAAATATATCATATATTCGAATCACATATCGATTTTTTCCATTTTCGCCATAAGGCAAAAACAGTGTTTCCCCAAGTCTCACATGGCTGAAATTTCATAGTTAAGGGTCGTAATTTAAAAATAAACTTGACATTTATTTTAAGAATAGAACATTTTTTTACCAAAGAAAAAATGATGTAAGTATACATTAAATGTTGCAAATATTGAATATAAAAAATTTGAAAACCCCAGTCCACATAATGTCTTTGTTACAATTCATTGATATACTAGTTGTTATTAGTCACGCAGATGTACCTCGTCATTTTCTGCCTTCATTATAGCAGCTTGGCTTTCTAATAAAGCTAGTAGAACGTCGTAAGCTTCCACTGTTCGATCGCTGTAATTTAGTGCCACCTGTAAAGCCGTTGCATTCGATTCGTAACGCCCGCACAATAAAGCCATTCTGTAAAAAATCGTATGCAAGTTATTAACAAAAAAAGTCGATCCTATTTAGCCGAAGCCGAAGCCGTTAATAAATTCTCTTCTGTAAATAAAATATTTACTGCATATTCTTATTGTTATGTACCTTATAGAGGGTTCTTAGTCTCAACTCAATAATGCAGGTGTTTACTTCAACAAACCACTTTAATTCTAATCTCGCTCGATAAGTTCGTTCAAAGTTATGTATTACTATTGTTCTTTTCCGTTAAAAATAACTGAACATGAGATATCACATGAAAGCCATACTATACACAATTGGTGCCACCCTAGTATTTAAACGGTTTATACGTCGTGCCTCGAGGCAAATTGCTTCAACTTTCCGTACCGCAATTTGAGAATTTTAAATACTTTGAAAAAAATTGATTTTTGAAAAAAAAAACTGAACATTTTTTAAAAAAAATGATTTTTTTATATCTTGAAATTTTTGAAAAACATAATTTTTGCCTAAGATATGCCAAAATGTTCAGAAAGTTTTGAAACGTAAAGATGTATAGAAATTTTCATCTTCGAATTTTTCGCGATTACTATAACTTACCTATAGTCCAGTCATTTGGTCAAAAAAGGCTGTTGCCGGTACAGTACTCCGGGAATTCTGAAAATTAGTAATCTTATAGATTTCGAGGTGCTCTTTACGAAAATCAACTTTGCCACTTTGCACTTTGAACTTGACCACATTCTCTCTAATAAATATATATTTTCAATGTTAGATTAAGAGAATAAGATCTAGAAATAAAATAATTCAAATATTTTTCTGTTTTTTGCTGATTTTTTAACACTTCAATAGCAAAGTAGCTATGAACAAAATTAAACTAGAGAAAGCTTTCTATAATTTATTCAATATCTTTTATTTTGTTAAACCAATTATTTTATTTCTAGATCTTATTCGCTTAATTTAACATTGAAAATATTTATTTATTAGAAAGAATGTGGTCAAGTTCAAAGTGCTGTCATATATGGAGAGATTTGATACTGCTCAAACTATCAATTTTACAAAAAAAAAAACGGTTTTCTAAAGAATTGTAGGAAATTTTATCTAGTTTAATTCGTACATAGATACTTTTATCGTAGAATGAGCCAGAAAGGAGTTATTTTAAAAAAGCTGTTTTTTGACGCCATTTTTCCAATATGGCGGCAACTTGCCGTTCAAATTTGAGGTGGCAAAGTTGATTTTCGTAAAGAGCACCTCGAAATCTATAAAGATTACCTATTTTCAGAATTCCGGAGTACTGTACCGGCAAAACGACCAGATGACTGGACTACTACGGAAAGTTAAAAATGGTGCAACTTATAAATAAAATGGAAATATTTTCAATAATATCTCGAACAATTGATGAGATAGAGTTTTAAAAACACCCTTGATATTATACATAAATTCGTTTAAATGCTAGAGTGGTGCCGATTCTGTATACAAATGTGTCTATAAACAAAATTAAACTAAAGAAAGCTTTCTATAATTTATTCAATATCTTTTATTTTGTTAAACCAATTATTTATTTCTAGATCTTATTCGCTTAATTTAACATTGAAAATATTTATTTATTAGAAAGAATGTGGTCAAGTTCAAAGTGCTGTCATATATGGAGAGATTTGATACTGCTCAAACTATCAATTTTACAAAAAAAAAAAAACGGTTTTCTAAAGAATTGTAGGAAATTTTATCTAGTTTAATTCGTACATAGATACTTTTATCGTAGAATGAGCCAGAAAGGAGTTATTTTAAAAAAGCTGTTTTTTTGACGCCATTTTTCCAATATGGCGGCAACTTGCCGTTCAAATTTGAGGTGGCAAAGTTGATTTTCGTAAAGAGCACCTCGAAATCTATAAAGATTACCTATTTTCAGAATTCCGGAGTACTGTACCGGCAAAACGACCAGATGACTGGACTACTACGGAAAGTTAAAATGGTGTGCAACTTATAAATAAAATGGAAAATATTTTCAATAATATCTCGAACAATTGATGAGTTTTAAAAACACCCTTGATATTATACATAAATTCGTTTAAATGCTAGAGTGGTGCCGATTCTGTATACAAATGTGTCTATAAACAAAATTAAACTAAAGAAAGCTTTCTATAATTTATTCAATATCTTTTATTTTGTTAAACCAATTATTTTATTTCTAGATCTTATTCGCTTAATTTAACATTGAAAATATTTATTTATTAGAAAGAATGTGGTCAAGTTCAAAGTGCTGTCATATATGGAGAGATTTGATACTGCTCAAACTATCAATTTTACAAAAAAAAAAACGGTTTTCTAAAGAATTGTAGGAAATTTTATCTAGTTTAATTCGTACATAGATACTTTTATCGTAGAATGAGCCAGAAAGGAGTTATTTTAAAAAAGCTGTTTTTTGACGCCATTTTTCCAATATGGCGGCAACTTGCCGTTCAAATTTGAGGTGGCAAAGTTGATTTTCGTAAAGAGCACCTCGAAATCTATAAAGATTACCTATTTTCAGAATTCCGGAGTACTGTACCGGCAAAACGACCAGATGACTGGACTACTACGGAAAGTTAAAAATGGTGCAACTTATAAATAAAATGGAAATATTTTCAATAATATCTCGAACAATTGATGAGATAGAGTTTTAAAAACACCCTTGATATTATACATAAATTCGTTTAAATGCTAGAGTGGTGCCGATTCTGTATCTCTTATAGCGTCCTATTGCCAGTACACGCAACGAACTCTTATAGCGTCGGTGGTGTAATGGTCAGCATAGTTGCCTTCCAAGCAGTTGATCCGGGTTCGATTCCCGGCCGACGTTTCTAAAGAATTGTAGGAAATTTTATCTAGTTAATTCGTACATAGAACTTTTATCGTAGAATGAGCCAGAAAGGAGTTATTTTAAAAAAGCTGTTTTTTGACGCCATTTTTCCAATATGGCGGCAACTTGCCGTTTCAAATTTGAGGTGGCAAAGTTGATTTTCGTAAAGAGCACCTCGAAATCTATAAAGATTACCTATTTTCAGAATTCCGGAGTACTGTACCGGCAAAACGACCAGATGACTGGACTACTACGGAAAGTTAAAAATGGTTGCAACTTATAAATAAAATGGAAAATATTTCAATAATATCTCGAACAATTGATGAGATAGAGTTTTAAAAACACCCTTGATATTATTACATAAATTCCGTTTAAATGCTAGAGTGGTTGCCGATTCTGTATAAAAATGGTCTACTATTGCCAGTACAAGCAACGAACTCTTATGCGTCGGTGGTGTAATGGTCAGCATAGTTGCCTTCCAAGCAGTTGATCCGGGTTCGATTCCCGGCCGACGCAAATTTTTTTTATATGAATAATAAATTTTATAACTTTAAATTGATTTTCGACTCTTAACAATTTTGTTAGTTAACATTTTAATTAGAATTCAATAAAAATATTCAAATATGAGATCAGTAGGTATATTTTAATTATATTCATGACGCAGTCTTGACTAGTCTTTTGATTATGTATGGAGTATGTATGTTGAATTGAATGGAATACGTATACATTAGTGATGTGCCAAGTCGAATCAAGTGATTCGAATCATTCGAATCAAGCCTTTAACGACTTGATTCGAATCAAGCGGCGATATGAGTTGTTCCGACTTCATATGAGCCAACTCGAATCAAGCGGCGATATGAGTTGTTCCGACTTCATATGAGCCAACTCGAATCAAGCGGCGATATGAGTTGTTCCGACTTCATATGAGCCAACTCGAATCAAGCGGCGTTATGAGTTGTTCCGACTTCATGAGCCAAACCGAATCAAGCGGCGTTTCGAGTTATTCCGACTTCAAATTCTGATTCCGAATATCCCGACTTCACGCCGTGCGAGCGATATGAGTTAGTTAACCGTATGGGCGATACAATGCGTCGTCGTTCTTGCGTGTTTATTTATTTTACGGAGCGCTGAGAGCGATTTTATTCGTGAAATATCAATACCCAATTTTGATAATAATTAAGTGTTTTAGATTTTAAATGTTATCAGAATAAACCACTCGAAATTATGAAACGAGTTTCGGAAATCTTTCAATATAATTCTCTTTCGAAACAATTACTAAACCAGAAAGTCAGTAAATAATATGTTAACTTCTGATTATATAAGTAATGGCAAATTCACATTAATGAAATTAACTTTCAGCTCTCAGTTTAGATGCGATCCTTTACTGATTACATAGTAAAATAAACAATCGACCCATGATTCCAAATATTATTTTATATGCTTTAGTGATGCACAATTGTTTGGTAATCTATTATTGTAAATTAATTTGAAGATATGTTTTAGCCGTCCTCAAAATTACATCATTTTTAATAATTTCAGAATATACTTTTTGATAGTGATTTATGTTTACAATTTCTACTTTGTCGGTTATATTGGTTAAACTGACAATTTTGATTATAAATTTGGATCACTTTTACTAAATTAATACATCCATGAATTTTTTTTGTCCATATATATACTTGATTCGAGTTGATTCGAATCATGATTCGAATCAGGTTTTTTTCTGATTCGAATCATTCGAATCGGGAATTTTTCGAGTCGGCACATCACTAGTATACATATATGTATATATGTACGTCCATGCAAGTTGTATGATATAACTAACAAATGCATTTCTATATGTATGTAATCGTATGTATATACGTAATCGTATGTATGCATCTTTTCGTTTATGAAGCAAGCATTAACGGCGGTTTTAATGAACACAAAAGAAAAGTAGAGGTTTAACTCGGTATAATTATTATTGAATCCGGCAAACATCTAAGCATGGCATGCGTAAATGCATTTTCTTCGCTATATAAAACATTTATATAAACATGTTTATATATTTATTTATATACTATCATTAATTATGTATATGTATTGAGTTGGAAATAGAAACAGTTAAAATATAACATACCTATCGCAATGCGCTTTGCTTTCTTGCAGGGTCAATGTCAGTACTGTATTATTTGCTTTGAGATGTTCCAGTTGTGCAATAGTTCGTTCCAACTCTAATTCTAATCGCAAAACTTCTGAAGGGGTACTGGATATTGATCCATTCAAAGTGTCAGTTAATAAATAGGATTCGTGAAGACCCGACTGATTTCGTAAGTCAGAAACCAAATGCTCTGCAACTTCTGTTGTACAAACCTGTTCAAATTGAATATGTTTCAAAACACTGTTAAAAGCATATAAAATGCATCTAATAGAATGTTAAAGAAAGCAAACAGTTCTCAGTATATTTATCGCTGAAAACCACTTAATTACTTACAGTTAAGCCGTTTGAAATGATATTCAATTGTAAAGAAAGTGTTTAGTCAATTACTTACACCAGTATTTAAGATATCAGTGCCTGTAATATGTTTTTCATCAGTCGTACGACGAAGGCGAACACGCTCGGCCATTTTTGACACTGGCGCTACATTTCCAGACCTTCCTAAAGAACCTGTTTAAAATGACAAATGTATTGAATGAAACTAGAACTCGTAAGGTCCGTGCATATTATATTTTAGTATGTTCATCAAGACCAGGTACACTATGCTATACATTTTTTAGCAATCAATTACAAAGACCTTTTCGTTATAAAGTAAATAGGACGATTCCCAAACAATATCTTTCAAACCGTTTTTGAATTTTTAAAATCGATTCAAGATTGTGGGCTAAAACGTGAAAAAAAATTTTTACACTTTTCTGTTAATTACAAAAAGAACGACCTTGCCGGTCGTCGCACCTTATTAATGAACGCAAGTCCTTAGGATTACATCGAATGGCTTTCAAATTTTTGACATCGGTTCAGCGGTTTTTGAGAAAACGTCCATGAAATATTAAAAATCGGCACATAATCACATCATACATACATAAACAAGCATACACACACATACTTTTTCCAAATTTGGTATCATTCGATTCAAAATGACTCGAAACGTTGAGAAAACAAAACAAAAAAAAAAAAAAAATCGGATTTTCTCGAGAAAACATAAACTTCTCTTTCGGGAAGTTAATAAAACTTTGATATTCTTTAGACAAAAGTAATAATACTTACTATGTACATGAACTGGCGAAGAGCTTCTATTTATCTGCAACACTAAACTGTTACTTTTTGCATGAGTCGGCCTTTGCTGCTGAACATTATTGACAGATCGTTTATCCATATTAGATCCATTAATTTCATAATCATTTACAGTATCTGCGGCACAATCCTTCTCCATTTTATTGACGTCTTCGACATTAGTAGTTTTGCTGTTGTCATGTATCAAAGCAAATTCATTTTTATCCGATACAGATTGGTTATCTATGCAACTAATATCATTCAGTGTTCCAGTAAGTCTTCCTAAAGGTAACGTTTCATCTAAGTCATGCTCGCTCGTGTAAGTATTTGATCGTTTAATAGAGTTGTCGGTGCTTTTTTCATTGTCACATGCGGAGTCTTCGACGTATTCTTGACAACTCGATTCATAATTCCGTTTAGTCGCTAATTTCGCTTGCAAATGTGCAACCTCCTGGCGCAAACTCAAGATTTCTTCTTGAAGAGCAGCAACTTGAGTCGCACTAGGCTGTGTTTGTGATTTGGTCATCAACGGAGACAAAAACTGTTGATGACTAAGAATTGATGCGGTGAATTCAGGACGGTTTTGAACAGAAGGACTTTCAGTGGCAGACCGCTGAAAATTGATATGAAAATTATATAAAATCATCTATATAGTCTCTGAATTGAACAAATGTATTATATTATAACAAGAACATATAAGATACATATAAGATCATAAGGTGATCATTTAGTTCACTATAGTATGTGATAATCTAAGAAAATATTCCTCTTTAGGTGAATTTTTAATTAGATTTATATGAAAGAAAAAATATTATATTAAAGATTCAATAGTACTACTACTATTTTTACCATAAAAAATGATTCCTAATAATTAAAATAAGTTTTTACCAATTCACAGAGACACATTTGTAAAAACAAAGTTACAACTTACTGTAGCTTTTACTTCTTCGATATCACTCTCGTCTTTATTCGTGTCAGTTTCATTGGCATCGCAGACTGAACTTGATTCAATTTCTGCAAGTTATGAAAAATAAATTACCTATATAAATAAAAATATAATAGATGAATTATTTAAAATAGTTTAATGCTCCATAGTTAATTTAATTGTATGATTTTATTAAATTTTTTATTTTATATTTTAATAGTTGGTATTTTTTAAAAACTATAACAAAGTTATAAATATAACAAATGAAATTAACGTATTTATATATTCATCGTGTAAGCAGCATTCAAATATATATAAATAGTTAAAAAATATACAATTGTTAAATCTTTTTTTCTTATTTTTGTTTAATTGTTAAAAAACAAAATCATTGTTTGTTTAACAAATCGCACACGCGGTTTAGTACACTGAATGATAGGCAGATCCTTTTGCAATTATTTTAATTGCATTTTTTATTACAATCAAATACAGTAAATACAAAATGCCTCATAGTTTCAAAAACTTTAGATTCATATTAACGCAACATTAACCATTCCGTAGTTTCGGCAGAAATAACGCTAAAAACGGTTTGAGAGTTTAATAATAACAAGTTATATCGTAAATTTTAATTTTCGTCCCGATGAATAAAGATTTCAGAATACAAGATTCCTAATATACAAATACAAGATTCACATTAAGCAAACATTTCTTGTAATAATTTTTAAATTATTGCAGAAATTAAGTAGTTTTTCTTAACCAATAAAAAGATTTTTTTTAAAAAAAATCACAGAAGATCCGTTATTTAATAATAGATTATTTATTTTTATGGATTTACTCTCTATCCTTTTGCTTGTTAATTACAATCTAAAAAAGACTTACTTAATCACACAATTCATTATTTTTATAAGGAGGCGTCCATTATTCACGTGAGCCTTAATAGAGGAGGTGAGGGTTGAAAAAATATCACGTGGGGGAGAGGAGGGTCTCATGTGATATCATGCGTATTTATGTTTTACCTCAATTTTTAAAAAAATCCAAAATTTTACAAAAAATATTCAAAAATTTTACCATTTTTTCTAGATACTGAAAATACACGTAATGTTTGGTGAGGGAAGGAGGTCATTTTAAATATCACCACGTATCTCCAAGGCGGAGGAGGTCCCAAAAATCTCCAGAAATCGATCACGTGATTAATGGACGTCCCCTAAGTCTTAAAACGGACAAGATTTAATTGTGATTGTGACATACATAGAAAGTTTAGGGAATTAGGAAATTCAAATATTATCGCGTATATTAACTTCGGCTTTAGCGGTATTAGAGAGAATAGTTTACCGGATATGTCGGCTTCGGCTTCCTCTTCCATGATGGCCGCCTGTTGTCTTTGGTGCAGCTTCCGACTCAGTTCCGCTATCACGCAGTGCAGTTCAGTAAGCCTGCCTTCGTGCGCTGTACCTAGGGCCTCTAGACGAACCTTTGGAATAAATTATGAATCACAATCGTAAATCCAATAAACCCATTAAAAATTAAATACATACTCAACTGAAAAACCATCTTTTACAACTCCGTCAATTAAAGTTCTACCAGTTCAGAAACCATTTATTAAGTATATTATAAAAAATATAGAAAAAAATTAAATTGAATTACAATTTCTCATTAGTATTTATATCAATTAATATCGGTATTTATATCAATTAGCAAAGAATCATATGACAAATTAAGGTCCGCCACCTTTTTAAACGACACTATTTTCAAGTAGAAGGCAAAAAGTGTATAACCAGCCATAACCCTAATTCTTACGACGTCGCTATCAGGAGATAAACAGCCATGTATCAATATTTATAACAAAAATATTTTGTTACGTTGGTAGTTTTTTTTTGGTTTTGAACTCTTTTATTTAGTTTCTAATACCTGCTATATTTTTTTAATATATGTTATTTAATTGTTTTATAGAATGTATTGCAATTTTTATGTTAGATTCAAAAGTTTTTTTATATATAGCATCTATAAAAAGTTACTTATATGCGAGTAGGGTAGAGAGTGTGAACTAAAACTTCACACTAGTACAGGTGAACAATAAGAAAATAATAAATATATAAATAAATTAGGTTAAAAGCAATTTTACAAAAGATAAATTAAAGTAATAGTCATTCAATCTATGGTGATAAATATTATATTTCCAACGAAATTCACCAGATAAAGTTTACACAGTGTGATCTTTGTAATAAATGTGCCCATAACATGTATATTTCGCATTGGAAAATACTGCAGCTATTATTTCGTAAAATCCCTTTAAAATCAAAAATAAGATATTGAAATTGACAGACAATAAATTTAAAAAATAACACATTTCTGTAATAAGGAGGAATTAAGTGGGCATTTTACTGAACAGAGTTTAATAGTTATTTGTTTGATACGTGTTATGGTTGTGATGTAGTTCATTTGATTTAGACAATAGAATGACTGAAAGCCAAATTAGACCTTTGCGATCCTCCCTACCCTATTTTTTTTAAATCCCAAACAGTGTTTCACTAATAGTTTCTAAATTAAGTAAATATTTCATGAATTCATTCATTGGCACTTTCGACAGTTTTTAATCTTACGTAAATAATTTATTTCCTTTCAAGATTAAAATACCTGAGCTCTAGACCTTTCCTCTTGTTCTATTTTGAGTTTTGTCTGCAGGCGATCACGTTCCCTGCTGCAGATCTGAAGCTGCGCCGAAAGATCAAGTACTTCGGCCTTCAACGCAGACATCGCTGCCAAGTGCAACTAAAATTTGAAATAAACTTGATAAATGTATAGCTCTAACAGCATCTAACATAAAATGGATGAAAATTTAAATGTTATATAATCGACGATTGCAAAACTAAACCATATTATATAATTCAAAAAAATATTACACCAACGTAAACATGTAAATTTACCTTTAGTTGAATAATAGTACGAAGGTTTTAGGAATATGTTCATGTTTAAAAAATTCTTTAATCTATAATTTTCAAGAATTTCAAAATTATTCCTTTCATATATATAGCATTTTCTCTTCCAAATATTACTGTAACGAGATTTAGGGACCGATTTTGCCGCATAACAGAAAAATGTTACGAAAAAGCCATGTTACGCTCCGACTTCCATACATTATGCTAATGAATCATACTGAATATTGTCAAAAAGCCATGTATTTGCTGTCGATTCAGGCGTTTTACACATAAACTGCAACGTCAATCGTATGTTACGGAGCTATATCATAAACACACTCTTATCTAACATCGTTTTTTTTTACATTTGTGCGGCTTTTAGGTTATGTTTTCTATCTGACAACCTGAGAAATTCACCTGACTGCACACCAACCGCATGGCTTTTGTCAATATTAGCATGGAAAGTTCTTCATAACATTACCTTGTCCTAACATTTTTCTGTTATGCGGCAGAATAGGTCCCTTAACGTTATTTCGCTTTCTGTACAAAATAACTACTTAAAATATCTAGTAAATAAATAATATTATATAATTAAAGCAAAAAAGAAGTAACAAATTATTTTATTAGAATTGCCATCTGTAAATAAAAGCAATGAATATTGTCTCTACTCAACATTGATCGCAAATTGAAAAAAGGAATAACATTGCCCATATTTAGGAAAGTAAGTAAGTTAATGTAAATTTGGGGTATATTTCCTGAAAACTAGTTACCAAGAATCATATGGAACAACGGTGTATGGATACGAAAGCATGCTGCTCTGTTTTGAAAGAATTCTTCTGCAAGAAAGTTTGCAGCGATAAGTGTCATTGTAAAGAGGTCGAACAGACGCCATTGTAATATATAAGAAAACTTTATCATAAATAAGAAAATTCACGTTGGTTAAAAAGTTATTATAAAAAAATTAAATTAATATTTAAAAAAAACGCGTTAACCCTTTGGGGTCGGAACGGTTCGAAGTGCACCGTACCGTGGTGCCGGGCTACTTCCACAATAGTCATTTAAAATTGCCAACGCATATTTTTGGCACTCTAACTCAAATTCTAGCACTCCAACTCAAATCCTGGACATATAGTTTATATTTATATACACAAAGATTTCACATGATAAATAAAATGTTTATTTATTCATTAACAGTTTAGTTCAGTTCGGTTTATTAACATTGAGTTCCTCGAGCTATCGATAAGTATAAAGGTGAGAAAACGGCCTGTCTCATCCCCCAGGGACGGTTATGACAGGCATACAAATAGGTTAAAAAACGATAGAGATATAAGCACCAAAATAACTTTTATTATCAGAAAGAACTTTATTGTCAAAAATATGTAACACATCACAACATATTCATTTAAATATAGCTTATGAATATTATATATAACAATACACAACAAAACATAATTTTTAAACAAAGTTAATAAAACCTTTCGGCCAAACTTTTTTTTTCTTATGTTGAATTTTTCTCTTCCTTTCTCTTTGGCGTTTTGTCTTAAGTTACATTTTTATCTGTTTCATCTTCACCCGAAAAGAACAAAAAATACTTGTCACAACCGCACTCACAAAATTTGTCACAACCGTAACCAACGCACACTTTTGGAGACATCATTATGATCGAGATAAATTATCTAAGCAAAAACGAATTGCTGCTAATTGCTACTAATTTTCAACTTATAACAAAATAACACACAAAGTTATCTATATGTATACAATTAACAGTATCATTAAAAGAATTTATGTAGATACGGTAATTCTGTATATCCGATAATTTCATATGCAAATGTCAAATGATCATTTTTGACCTCCAAATGACCATGTTTTGCACTTTTTCCTTAAAATTCCTAGAAACTAATTAACTCTTCACACAATTTGATTAACTTAACAGCATTTTTTCTATTTATCCTTTGAATATCAGAAATGGACTTGCTCTTCCTAATCAATCTTTACACCATCAATACCAATCAAATGATTTTTGAATTATTAAAATAAGTTCGAATGCAAACCTTCTACACATGCATACATCCATATTTTCTAGGGAGGGTATAGCGTTGGAAGACTTTGAAAAGTAAAGATATGAAAAACAACATATTACCGACTTTTATGAGATTACTATAACGTACACTGCCCTACAAAAAGTTAAAAAAAAAGTTTTTAATGATTCTTCTGAACAACACTAGAAAATGTTTTCACTATAGTAATGCATATATTTCATTCTTATGAGAAAAAGAGTCATAAAATTATTCAAAAGAATGTTGCATAAACTGAAAAGTTTAAACCTGAAATAAAAACAGCTGACAAGTATTGCGAAGAACATTAAATAATTAAATTTTAAAACTGATTCGTAAGTTTGAAAAATATAACTATTTCAAAATAATTTAATTTCAATTGTGAAATTATATCTAGCAAAAAGTTTTATTACGGTTGTAGTATAGTTTGGGTTAGTAAATATAATTGAGGAATCAATAATAATGGCATATATAATTTATAAACCTACATTTAGTACTACAAAAGTAGAAATGTTATTGTATGTAAAATTAACAACATTAAATTAATATAGCACTGTATTAGCATTAAGCTAATATAGCTGTTTGAAACATAATTTCACAAATCAAAATACAAAACAAAAACTTGAACACACTTGAATAAAAAATTTACTTTGATATGTAAAAATAATTAAATTATTTAATCAGTAAACTACTAATTGAACCAACTTTATTTCCGGCGCAATGGTTTATTAAAATTCTGTCGAGAATCGTGTAGTCACATTTAATATATTCTATAATCATAATTTGAAGCAACGTAATTACTTTATATTTACATAACTATGTACTGTTCTCTAAGCTAATTCGTAGTGAAAAGTAATTTTTCAAAACCTCAATTTGCATCTCTCGGCTATGAAACAAATAATATTAAATTAAAAAGCTTCAGTATAAAATTAATGCCAGTAGAAATAAAATAACGCTTGTGCGTAAAATATACATTCAGAAATGTAAAATTTTGTGCAATTATTCTTTGAGATAAAAGCAGCAAACATCCTTTTGTAAAGCCTGCTCAATCACTCACACAGCAACTACGAGTAATTTTTCTAATTTTTTATGCTTTATTTCTTCAACGAAATTGATTTTCTGAACTTTCGTGATAGCAAAATAGATTTCCGACTTGATCAATCATGTGTATTACGCGAAAGGTCGGTAACCAGTTTACTAAATATAATTCACATACTAAGTTCATGTCTAACTAATTAAGTCATAGGAGAAGTGTGTGTATGTGAACACAAACATTGTTTTATCTCAAACATATTTTTTCGACAACGCCTTTTGGAAAAAATCAATAATAATTAGCGTTGATTAGTTTTATACGACGTATCGTTTATCTGTGACTAACATAAAAAACATGGAAGTATGTAAAACCCGCCCGAAACATTACAACTGTTTATAGGTTGGTGAAGCATTTGTTTGTAATTAACATACTAATGGATTACAAAAATGTATAAACAGATTTCTAGATAAACATGTTTATCTAAAAATAAGTAAGTAAATAAAAAAACATACAAAATAATTGATAATTTTTTTTCGCGGTTTTAATGTTCACCTTCGAGAGTGCTTATGTAATTATTATCCAATATAGTCCGCAGTTGTATATACATGTAACTGGCAATGAACAAATAAGCACCACTATCCAACCGGCGTCTTGGGAAAGTTAGTTAAGAACATTGGAATTTTGTACAAAGTCTGTGAGGCTATCATGAGTCGAACCCTCAGCCGTGATTGATTAGGCATGGTCAGTAGTAGTAGTTCTATTTTGGTCCGATTCGATCAACAGATTGGGATCTAGTAGTAAGTTTCGTCTAATTAGAACGAATGCGATGTTTTAAATGAATAAAATAACATTAAAATGTACACCCGCATAAACCATATAAACAAGCATGAGTTGTTATTTACCATCATTTATCCAATATTGTCAAATTGCATAGTCCTGTGCAAACTATTCCCATACGTTTAATCGTATCGAAACTTTCAAACTCACGTACCGAAAGTGCTAAAAGTGTTTGATTGAAATCCTGTTGGATATTATTTAGTTCAAAAAACATGTTATATGCATTGTTTGAGATCTAGATAATTGACACTTGACGATAATTGATGTGAATCTACGATGAGCTCGAGTAACAAAATATAGAAAATTGTTTGAACGCACTACATTCTGTTTCTGCACCAGTTTTATTTCATAAAGAACTAAATTATAAACGTTTCAAGTGATGGTCTCATACTACCAATACTTCTTTCACTCATGCCACCACATCCTTACACATTGTTTTAAATATATGAAAATAATTATTATAAATTCTATAAATTTCATTGTCGTATTTTATAAATCTAATATAATTGCTTATATTTGGCGATGACCTTTATATATGTTCACCTAGAATCACAAAAACATTATACACAAAAACCGTCGACACACGCATATGCTTTTTGAATTACTCTAATCGGGTACGCCATTCCCTGAGAAACTGCTATTCTGTGCACTTCTTACTCTGCATCTCCAAAGCAGCTGGACCTGTCTTCGCAAAAATGTAATCACTTATTCACTCAATCAATACGTATCGAATGTTTTTTTGAATCATTCTAATTAGTAGTTCTCTCAAAAGCTGGTTGTTTTAATTGGAAGTGGCTTTCTCAATCAGCTCATCACCCCGTCAATATGAATCGAATGTTTTTTGAATCATCGAAATCGGTTGATCTGTACTCCCGATATCGCGGACGAAAGATTTTATCTAAACATACGCACGCACACACATACTTACAT